CATAAACTTTCCACCCAAGATTTATTAGCAGTTAAGTTCCACTAGCTAAGCTAAGTCAAATATATGCATCTTGTTTCTGACTCATCAAGCTTTGATTTTTGTCTTTCGACTATCCTTTTCTCTTCTTCCTTTCTTCTAATATCCTTTTCCTCTGTTTCAACTACACCTTTCTCTATTTTCTTCTTCTTGCTGTTGAGAAATTCGATGAGACCACTGAGTGCAGCTTTAGGCTCATCACTGACCATAAGTTGTTGTGCCACTTCAGCTGGAGTAGCTTCAATACTTTTAATCAGATCATCAATGCAGCCAAACAGTTTGTCATCTTTGATTCCAAGATATGTAGTTGCAAGTTTCTGAATCCTCCTGGAGTACAATATCCCATGTAAATATGCACATCCATACGCCCTGGACGTAACAGAGCCGGGTCTAACTTATCTTTGTGATTTGTGGTAAAGATTATGATTCTTTCGTTTCCACAGCTCGACCACAATCCATCAATGAAATTGAGCAACCCTGACAGTGTTACCTACAAAACCAAGATATGTAAGCCAGGACAAGGAAAATAACAGTAAAAAATCAAAATTGAAGACAGTGAAACAAATGAATTACCCCAGGATCGATAGAAGGACGATGGGATTCATCTTCATCTTCTTCCTCATGTCTTTCTTTTACCTTGGCTCTATCACGTGATACATTTGTGCTACAATCTATGTCTTCAATGAGCAGAATGGTCCGGTTTGTGGTGGATGTGAGTATACGTCTGAGATCAGCATCGTTTTGAACGCTTTGAAACTGAAGGTCATATATATTATACCTCATGTAATTTGCAATTGCCGCAACAAGTGATGATTTTCCTGTTCCTGGTGGACCAAACAAAAGGTACCCACGTTTCCAAGCCCTGCCAACATTTTCGAAAAATTCCTTGCGTTCCACAAATGAGTCAAGATCATCCAGTATGAATTGCTTAAGCTTTGGCTCCATCGCCAGAGTCTCAAATGTTGCAGGGTGCTTGAAAACTGCAGACTCCCACATGGAATATTTTTGGTCATATGTGTAAATGCTGAGGCTCCCACGCTTGTTCAGAATTGCTTGTGCGGTTTTGCTAATGTAAGGGAAGTACCTTTGCTCAACTGCTTCTCTAGCACTTTTCTTGCAGGTCAAGCTGAAGTATCTCTTATTAGGGACGTAGTACCTTTTTGTTTCAATTGAAGAGAAAGTCCACTTCAAGCGTATGCCCTCAAAATCATCCAAGATCGTGCAATGTACAGGGATGCTTCGTTTGGGTGGAGCTTTGGGGTCACTGGAGTCATTCGAACCAATGAGTAGGCTATCGCTGAAGGGTCCAATTCTGGTGGGCAAGTAGACCTCAGCAGCCCGAAATACTTGGTTGTCAGCAGCTTGCCAACGTTCTTCGATAACGAAGGTGAACTCTGAAGAGAAATAAGGGGATGTGAACTGGGAAATTTTTGAGGCGATGTAGTTTCTCATCCGTTCTGGGATCATTTCATTTAAGATTGTACGGATCAACATGACCATGGCTGAGATAGAGGCATAAGCGGAGAGAAGAGGGGACAAAGACGGTAGCTCTTTCAACAGGGTAGCCATTTCTGTCCTGTGTTTTGCTTGTTAAACAGAGAGCAACAGAGAAGGTTGAACGCAAAAGGGAGAAGGAAAAACACTTGGAGTAGGTGGCAAGCTGAAGGCTAAAGAACACGCAAGAAAGAACCAGCGTTTGGTTCGAAGGAGTCCAAATATTTTTCCTTAGAATTTTATTACTGAGTATTTAATTTTAATATTTGATTCAAGATAATATAATTTTGAGAAAAATTGATACCCAAAATTTTTAAAATAATTTACTCAAAAAAATTGAAGGAGATTATTTAAAATATTTTTGATAAAAAATGTTTTCAATAATTCATTTAATTTTTTTATAAAAAATTATTCAAAATATTTTTTAGATAAAAATATCTTCAATAATCTTGTCATAAAATTGGAAGAAATTTTTAAAGGTATTTTTTCATCATAAATGATTTGAATAATCTTTTCATAAAAATTAAAAAGATTATTCAATGTTTTTTTTGCCAGAAACGTCTTAATTAATCCAATTTAAATTTTTTTAAAGAATTATTGAAAGTATTTTTGATAAAAAAATACCTTGAATAATCTTCTCCAAAAAATTAGAGAGGATTATTCAAAGCCTTAAATAATACCTTCTCAATTTTGAAAGAGCTTATTTAAGGTGTTTTTCGATAAAAAAAAAAGACCTTAAATAATACCTTTTAATTTTGAAGGAGTTTATTTAAAGTATTTTTCAACAAAAAATGTCTTAAATAATTTTTTTTCATTATTTATAACATTTACAAGATAAATTATAAAAACATTGGAGTAAACGCTTTAAATAATCTCTTGAAAAAGCCAAAAAACATTAGACAGAAAAATTAAATCTGTGACCTTATGATTAATAGTTATAGGATTTTTCAAATGATTATTTAAAGCGTTTATTGTTCGAAAACGCCTTAAATAATTTTTTATTTAAAGTGTTTTTTGACAAAAAATATCTTAAATAATCCATTAAAAAACTCAAAAAACACTAGAGGGAATAATCAAACCTACGACCTTATGGTTAAAGGTCATAAGATTTTTCAAGGATTATTTAAAGCATTTGCTATCTAAAAATACCTTAAATAATCTCTTAAAAAATCCAAAAAATGCTAGAATGAAGGATTGAACTTACGATCTTATGGTTAACAACCATAAGATTTTTCAAGAGATTATTTAATGCGTTTGTCATCTAAAAACACTTTGAATATTCTTTATTACTAAAAACATATTAAATAATCCCCTCATAAAAATTAAAAGAAATTATTTAAAGTGTTTTTAGCCAGCAACGCCTTGAATAATTCCATTCAATTTTTTGTAAGAGATTATTCAATACGTTTTCTAGTAAAAAAAGCATTGAAAACGCATTAAATAATCTAAAAAAAGATTATTTAAGGTATTTTTGACCATAAAACACATTAAATTATTTAAATTACCATCATATATGCTAATGATATTATAGTAATTATTAAGAATTTAATATATGTGAATCCTCCCGATTAAACAAGTGAATATAAATACCAGATACCTTAAAAATGAAAAAAAACTCCTGAGTATCACATTTTTCTAAAAATCACACATTCATACTTTCCCTTAAATTTATAATTTCGTGAACTAAATGCCTTGAAAGGTATTTCTTATAAAACAAAGGCAACAAATATCTTAAATAATCTTTTTATAAAAATTGAAAGAGATTATTTAAGGTATTTTTTGTTAGTAATGCTTTAAATAACCTTATTCAAACTCTATTCAAATTTTTATAAGAAATTATTCAAGATATTTTTTTTTTGACAAAAAACACATTGAATAATTTTAAAAAAATAAAAATAATTATTTAAGATATTTTTAGTTAAAAAACATATTGAATAACCCTATTTAATTAATTGAATGACGTTATTTAAATTAGTATCATTTATGTTAAAAAGATTTTAATAACTATTTAATATTTAATATATGTAAATTTTTTCTAACAAATGAATAAATTTAAACACGAAATACTTTAAAAATAAAAAAAATATTTGAATATCATATTTTTTTAAAAATCATATATTTATATATATATATATATTTTTAAATTTACGATTTTACAAACCAAATTTCTCTAAACCTATTCCTTATAAGACAAAAAAATAAATGAAATGTGCAGGGGCCCGTATCGAAGCAGTAGCAATGAAATCCATGAGTTATCACATCAGGAAGGAAAGAGCCTGGAAAAAATACAGTGTGAAATGCTTGGCCGAAGTTGGGCCAGATATACTATGAAGAAATTAAAGTGCCTTTGGACATTGTGTCAGTGGCCATATATGCATGCGCTAATTCATAGGATATATACAAAGCATCTTTGCGCATGAAGATGTTCTTTTTTCTTAGGATATACAAACGGAAAAAAAATGACAACATTGCGCTTTGATCTATAAAAATCAGGTAAAATTTGTAATTCGCGAACTAGGTAGTGTCCTAATGAGATATACTTGCTTAAGGTGGGAGGTTGATTTCAAGGTTTGTTTATACTATTACTGCTAAGACAAACCATATAAAAATTGGTTCATGATTTATTTGAAAGGGATCCACCATGTCGGTTGCTTTTGTTTGCTACTTTTTGAATCACAAAAGCAGGGAATATTTTCTCTGCTTTTTCGAAACAAGAATTGGGGAATCAGTATGCTTCTTCCCCACGCCTTGTATTGTTTTATTTAGACTTTAGAAAACAGAATTGTTCGGACGCTTTCGTGCCAGCTTGGAGCGCAAGCATGAAGCAGCTTATGAGTTACGACATTATATTTGCGGGACCAAGGATCACAGCCCACAGCCGACCCACGAACAAAGACAAAAGCACTTTTGAGGCTGGGGCCTGGAATGCTGTGGCTGACGGTTAAGTGGACGTTATCTCGATGAGTTCACTGGTTCAAAAGTTTTTTTTTTTTTTACCACGAAGAGTCCGCTGGAAAATAAAAGAAAGAATCAAAAGTACTAAAAATTTGATCGTCAGTACTTGTATTAGCGTATCAGTTGATAACATGTCAGATCGATGTATATGGATTTGCTCATTCGTACGGCAATGATAAAAAAGACAGAATTACATGTAAACACATGACCACAACATTTGAGTCAGACTTGGATATCTCCTACTTGCATATTAAATTAGGTTTAGGCAAATAAAAAAGATTTGATGAAAATTTCATGCCTCTTGCTTTAAGATTTCAATGGTCAAGCTTGAATCAACTGTTTCAATAATTATTTTTTATATCTATTTATAAGATTTTTATTACATATAATAGGAAAATCGTTATTTGTTAATAGAAAAGAAGTTTAGCCCAAATCTGGCCCATAGACATTTTCAATGTTCGCCTTTTTTTTTATTATTTTTTAAGGAACTGTTGTAGGAATCTGTACGGCATATTTGCAACAAAATAACTCTATACTTTTTGCTCATAGGAAACAACATGGTTGGGAGTATGGGACAAGACATTTTTACCTTGTGCATCTTATCAAAACAAGTAAAAACCATTCATTTGGATAAGCCTAATGCTATCAGAGACAAGATTCACGAAAACACCCAAACTTTTTAATGTGAAACTCTATCCTTCGGAAAAGTAAACCCCACCCTCCATGGATGGGCATCATTTGATCGGTGAAAAATAGACTACAGTACCAGTTGTTTGAAAATACATAATATACCTAAGTAAGATATATTGAACCAGATTCACTTTCATCATGCTTTCTGCTTTGTTTTCCATCATCCTTTTCATTTTCATCCTTTGGTTCCTCTTTTTGAATGACATCTTCCCCAACCTTAACCTTTTTCATGTTAAGGAATTCAGTGAAACATTGGAGTGCAGCTTTAGGGTCATCACTTCTGACCATCAGTTGTTGTGCCACTTCAGCTGGAGTAACTTCAATATTCTTAATCAGATCATCAATGGAGCCAAAAAGTTTGTCATCTTTAATTCCAAGATAAGTAGTTGCAAGTTTTCTGAATCCTGCAGGAGTACAATAGCCCATGGGAATGTGCACATCCATGCGCCCTGGACGCAACAAAGCTGGGTCTAACTTCTCTTTGTGATTTGTTGTGAAGATGATGATTCTTTCATTCCCACAGCTCGACCACAGACCATCAATGAAATTTAATAGGCCTGACAGTGTTGCCTACAAAAAGTACATAATTAATTAATTGTTATCTAAATTAATGAGGATAATTTTGTAATGTTATAGCCTTAAAGGTCTAATGAGTTACCCCAGAGTCAACAGGGGAAGTACGACCGAGTTTCCCATCTTCACCTTCCTTCTCTCGGTCATCTTTAACCTTGGCATGATCTTGTGAAATTTTTGTGCTGCAATCTATATCCTCAATGAGCAGAATAGACCGGTTTGTGGTGGATATGAGTATACGCCTGAGATCAGCGTCATTTCGAACACTTTGGAACTGGAGATCATATACGTTGTAGCTCATATAATTTGCAATTGCCGCAACCAGTGATGATTTTCCTGTCCCTGGAGGACCAAACAAAAGGTACCCACGTTTCCAAGCCCTGCCAACGTTTTTAAAGAAATCCTTGCGTGCTGCAAATGAGTCAAGATCTTCCATTATGAATTGCTTAAGCTCTGGCTCCATAGCCAAAGTCTCAAATCTCGCCGGGTGCTTGAAAACTGCGGATTCCCACCTGCAACGATCTTGGTTGTAGGTGTAGATGTTGAGCTTTTCTCGCTTGCTCAAGATTGTTTGAGCCATCTTTACTATATGGGGAAAATACCTCTGTTCAACCATTTCTCTAACTCTTTTCTTGCAGGTCAAGTGATAGCATTTTTTATCCGGGATATAGTACTTATCCGATTCTCGTACATGCAGAGTCCACTCCAAGGTGATGCCCTCAAATTCATCGATGATCTTGCAATCAGAAGGGATGTTTCGTTTTGGTGGCGCTGTTGGGTTATTGTGGTCGTTGGAGCCAAGAAGAAGTTTATCAGTTGAAGGGCCGATCCTGGTAGGCAGGTAGACCTCAATAGCCCGAAATGTTTCATTATAAACAGCTTGCCAGCGTTCCTCAATGATGAAGGTGAAGTTAGAGGACAAGTAATTGGATATCAGGTCAGAGAGTTTTGACTTGATATACTTTTGCACCGGTTTTGGGATCATTTCATTCAAAATCGTACGGATTAGCATGGCCATGGCTGAGAGGGAAGCATAGGCAGCAAGAAGAGTTGACATGGAAGGTTGCTCTTTCAACAGGGAAGCCATTTTTCGTCTAAGCTTTTTTGACACAAGCAGACTTGAGCGTAGTTGGGGTTTACAGTAGCAGTAGGAAGAAGCCTAGCTACTGTAGCAAGAAACAAGGCGGAAAATATTGGCTTGACTTGAGAACAATGAATCTGGAGAAAAAGTATGGAAAGGGAAGAAGCTAGGATATTGTTTAATCAAAATGAGGTCATGAGTGCAGCTGTCTGGAAGATATTGGTGAGGCCGTTTCGGATGGCTAGTTGGAATTTAAACACTTGCTTTCACTTTTCATCTGCTCCGTTTTCACCATTATTGACTTGACGTTCGGAAGGTACTTTTATAATTTCCTTTTGTCTTTTGGGTGCAAATCACTGGGAATTTGATGGTGAATACAGCTGGCATTTCTTTTGTATTTTGGGTGCGTTGGGAATTTGATGGTGAATACAGTCAACAATAGAATGGTGTCAAAACTCATGACAATGGTGCTGTACATAACCTATTGATACTATTTCTCTTCTTTTCATTATAATGACATGAATATAATAGTTCATTTACAAATTTCAAAGATGAGTTTGGGATTTATTCTCTGCATGAGAAAGTTCCACAAATTGTGTGATTGAAATATATCAATGAATAAAAAGAACGAGTGAAAGATATTAGATTTATTTCAATAAATTTATCTGCTCTCAAAAACAGAGCTGCATGAAATGAGTGTGATACTGGCAGAGAGAGGCACTACATTCTCATGCCTCTTTCAAGCCTCATGTTCTGAATAATGATAAGTGATTTTGTATGAAATTCTAACTATACTCCCATTATTTACAATTTAATTTTTGTTAATAAATTTATAAAACACAATAGAGCTTTTATTGTGCACAATATGCATCTCAATTGAGAAATTTGCTTATCAAGAAATATTGAAAGAATACATAACAAAATTGGATACCTAGCTAACCAGATGATAATATTGTTAAGTCTCAGCTTTCACTTTTGTTATAACTCTGGTCCCAAAATCAAAGCCTTGCCCGCCATGTCACCATCACTTGACAACTGCTGACCGATCAATCAACATGGTCAACATCAACTACTCGACATACCATAGCCAACAGTTCACTAATTACCCGTGCAATATTAATTCACGCTATAAAAGATGGGATTAAAGCACTTGACTGAATTGAACGTTGATGTGCAGCCCCAAAATCTTACCTCCAATGTCGATCAATATCAACAACTTTCTTCAGACTTGATCTTTACAAGGACAATGTATAATTCGTCAATTTTCTCAATTTCAACTCTTTTTTTTTTAATTATTAACTTAATTAATTAATGTTCTATCTTTTTCGATAAAAAAATATTAGATTTGAATCTTATTTATAATCATTTATTAAAATCATCTCGAATGTATAATTTAAAACTACTTATTTTAAATTATTAGATACAATATATTTTATCTTGACCTATGACATTAAATAACTTATCGAATTTTTTGTAAAAAAAAAAAAAATTTCTTTTTCTTTATCTCAACTATTTCTAAGATCATGATTATATATGTTAATTGATCCGATATTTTATCCTGACCTAGAAACTGAACAATTTATTTATATCAAATATTTTAATAACAAAAAAAAAAAAAACTCTTTTCTTTATCTCAACTATTTCTAAAGTCGTGATCATGTGTGTGAATTGGTCCGATTGGAGATGGATTATGGGGAGAGAAATCAAAGAAAAGAAAACCTTATAGCTGTAAATGAGATCATTAGATAAATATAAAATCATTTGAGAAGAAAAAAAATGGGAGAACGCAATGATCTGAAATCAATTTCCGTATGTAATTAATTACAACTGATGAATAAGGTATATCTTAATTGGCTATATATGAATTAATTATTGCACCTCTCCTCCAGCACATCAGAAACTTCTCAAAATGTGTCTTAATTAATGTCCACTCGGCTGTCTAACAAGTGCTTCTACATCTAGAATCTAAATGATCAATCTTATTGAAAGCCATCTCCAACACTTGTCCTTTCATTTTTGTGACATTTAGTTTCTAATAGTAACGTGGCAATCGCATCAACACCCGGTGGCGCGCCAGAGTGCATGGAAACATGCTATAAAGATTTATTTTATCACCTATAAGAGCCTTGATGCCAGTATCAGTTTTCCACTGACAAAAGAAGTCAGAAACCAGTTTTCTAAAGCATTATTGCTTCCAAGTTAGCAGTCATTGTTCTTGTTTTAGTTCATAATTACCATTGAAAATGGCACACTTCCAGAATCAGTATTCTGTTCCTGAAGTTTCCCAAACTGACCACCCAATTCGCCGGACAGACGAGTATGGCAAACCAATTCCCAAACATGAGACTGACCGTGGAATTTTGGGGGTTCGTGGACATCATCACCGAGAGCATCATGGACTGCACCGCCCTGGAAGCTCTAGCTCTAGCTCCGTAAGTTAATAAACTGATGATCTTTTTTCATAAGTACTAATTTAAATCATGAAATATTAACAATATTTATGGGAATGCAGTCAGAAGACGAAGGAACGGGGAGGAAGAAGAAGGGCTGAAGGAGAAGATAAAGGAGAAGCTACCAGGTGGACACAAAAAGCACCAACCTCAGGCAACATCAACTACAACACCAGGGCAAGGACCTGCGTATCACCAACCCCACGAGAAGAAAGGACTGATGGATAAGATCAAGGAGATGCTCCCTGGCCACCACAGCCCTTAATTAGCTGTCTTCCATCGGCTACTTTTCTAGTAGTCATAAGCTTTAATTTCCAGCAAGAAGCAATAATGCTACTGTATAATTATGAGACAATAATCAAGAGATGTTTGCTGACCACTGGGTTGGCTTGCTTATCTTTCCTATATATAAGATAGCATAGTTTTGCATAAAACAAAACTGAAAAGATGACTATGGAGAGATCATATAGATGACAGATATATATCAGTAAAAAGGGAGCTATGAAGCAAGCATAAGAAATTAATATTAATTGCTAGGTCAAATAAATCATTGTTCTAAAAATAAGAAAAAAGTACTTGGATAATTATCTAAGCTTATCCTATGTACAAATCGGGTTTATATAGTTTGTCCATTTGGTATACATAATTGTGTTAAAACTAGGTTGCAGCAAAATGTAGGCAAAGAAATCAATATGAAAAACTTTTTGCTTTTCTGGCAAAAATTTAACTAATTTTTCTTTTTCTTTTTTTTTCTCTTTTCGGTTCAGTGCTAAATTTTCACTAGTTAAAATTGCTAGTCTTGAACATTTTATCCAATGACAAATCATTGTCCTTTGTTAGATCAATTTCATGTTTTCTGGCGTAAGAACTTTTCAGAAAAAAGGAAAGGATCGAGAATAAACTTTTGTACGATCCTGGCAACAATTAATATAGCCATGATAAAGCTATTCCTTACTAAAATATTCATGGACGAGAACTGGATTTCCGTGCTGCTGCTCAATTCAAAAATGTGAATCAACGGACTTCAGGATGTGTGGTTCACCCACACAAATAAAGCTTAATTTTTCCCTTTAAGTAATTGAGAGCAAGCCTTTTTCTTCTTATTTAGAGCTGAAAAGAAAAAAGGGTTTTACAATACTAATTTTTGGTTTTTTTTTCTTTAAAATGGGACAAAGTCTTACAACAAGTGAAGAAGAGGAAAGACTAGGGTCGAATCTTAATTTTAATGTCTTTTTTAAAGTTTTTTTTATCACTAGATCAAGAAATTGAAGATTAACTTTTGGTATTGATCAATTACAAATGTCTCTCACTGCATCTGCCACGTAACAAGATTTCATTTGATTGATGCATATTCATAAATTTTATTCCCCATCTTCAATCACGAGAAAAGTTACGATAATTATAGTTCCCATTTAAAAAATCATATACGTTTAGCTTAATCCTATACAAGTAGCTACGATCACAACCCTCCGTACTTAGCTCTCTCCCATATAAATAACTAGTCTAAAAAAGATTTATCTCGGGTTACTTTATTATAGTGGTTCTGGTTTTATCTTTTGCTTACAAGAAAATGGTGTATTAGCGGCAGTTTTGTAACGGTCATTCACTTACAAACGTCACTAACTTCCATGTTTTTATAAAACTTAAGGCGTTCATTATCAAAATGTCACTAAATATTCAAATAGCAACACTGTTACTTATAAACGTTATCCAATATTTGATATCAACGACGTTTCTTAACTGAAATGCCTTGAATAATCCTGCCTTAAAAATTTCAATGAATACTAAAGGCATGTTTTTGGTAAACAACGTCTTTAATAATCACCTAATAAAAAATTGTATGAGATTATTAAATGCATTTTCTACAAGAAAACGACTTTAATAATTGGACCAAAAAATTCTACAAGCTTATTGAAGTCATTTTTCTTCAAATACGCCTTCAATAAATATCATATTAAAATGTTTGGATTGTATAGATGTAAACCATAAGGTTGTAGGTTCGATCTCTCCTTTTAGTCTCTTTTGGGGTTTTTGCAGATATTATTTGTAATTGATTATTGTAAGCGTTTTCTTGGCAAAAACGTCTTCACCAATTGTTTTAAAAAATTTTGCACAGAATATTAAAGGTATTTCTCATAGAAAAATGCCCTTAATAATCTATATAAAAAAATATGGAGTTGATTTTTAAAGGTATTTTTGGCTGAACTCGCCATATATACTCCAATCAATAAATTTTTGTTATGATTATTATAGGCGATTTTTGTCAAAAACGCCATCAATAATCCATAGAAAAAAGTTTGAATAGATGCTTGAAAGCATTTTGGCTTAAAATGCCTTTAATATTCAAGATAATAAATTTTAATGGTTAGATTATTGAAGGCAGTTATATCCAAAAACGCCTTCAATAACATTCTGTAGGGGATTATTCAAGGCGTTACCCGTAGGAAAATGCCCTTCATAATCCATTCGATTAATTTTTAGTTGGTATTATTGAAGGTGTTTTTTTTTAAATGCTTTTAATAATTTATACAAAAAAGACACGACGGATTTTTAAAAGCATTTTTTGCCCAAAATGCCTTTAATATTTCACACAATAAATTTTTGTTGGGATTATTGAAGGCGATTTTGGTAAAAAAATGTCATTAATATTTCATACAATAAATTTTAATGATCAGATTATTGAAAGTAGCTATATCCAGAAACGCTTGCCAAAACACCTTTAATATTCCACACAATAAAATTTTGGTGGGATTATTGAAGGCAATTTTGGTAAAAAACGTCATTAATATTTCATACGATAAATTTTAATGGTCAGATTGTTGAAGGTGGTTATATCTAGAAATGCC